GTTGTTTCCAACCTAGTACAACTGTCCCACAGACTTGGCCAGCTGTCCACTGCATTCAAATTGGGGAGGTAAGTGAAATTTTCTATCTTCGGGACATGTAATTTGTGGAAGTAAACCATACTGAATCTGTAGTCTCTGAAAGTTTATAGGATCATAGCATTTACTTGTTAATGTAATGTTGTTTATAGCGTTTTTGTATTTATACCCCCAAGGACTTCCCAGTAACATCTCCATCCCAAATAGAATCCTCCCATCATCTCACCCCTTCATTTTACAGATCAGGAAACTGAAGCCCAGTGACTTGCTCAAGGTTATATACATAGAAATTGGCAATGCCAGGATTGAGATCCAGGTCTTCTTACTCTAGTCTAAATGCATGAGTCTTTTCCAAATATACCATACTGCCTCTTATGTTCTTGACTTTTAATTGAGGATTTGGTATTGTCTCTCTTTTATTCCAAGTACTGTAGTCCTACTGGGTTTTGACTGATAAAAATCCTGTATGAGGTGTTTTATGAACATATAAAGAAAGGATCTGTCATCTCTTGAGTTACAGAACTCTTAATACAGTAACTCCTTCCACCAGAGGGGCAGATTGCAACCCTTCTATGACTTAACAGATAAGTCACCTGAAGTACATTGAGGTTACATGACTAGTAATTACCATGGGCCAGCATCTGAACCTAGGCCTTGACTCCATGATTAGCACTACCCCACCTTGCTTCTATCTGGAATGTTTGAGAGAATTTAAATAGAAGAGGCTCCATGGTGTGGTAGCAGATAGCAGGTCTCAAAGCTGAGAAGATCTCAAGTTGAAGAAGTGCTTTTGACCCATGCTAGCAGTGTTACCCTGGAGAAGTCGCTTAACCTATCAGTGCCCTGAGTGGCTCTCAAGACAAGTTGGAAAGAAGGTGCTGACTTGCAATGAACTCATCTAGGAGTTCCCTCTGCCAATGAATCCCAGTTCCAGTACCTGTCCTTATCCTATTTTATGTAGTACTAATTAGTAGTAGTACTAATACTTGTACTAATAGTAAATGAGGAGGAGGAGGACAGCTGGTATACAGTGCTTTAAGTTTTGCAAAATACTTTACAAATATTAATTCATTTGATCCTTGCAACAGCCCTAGAAGGTCAATGCTATTATTATCCCCATTTTACAGATTAGGAAACTGAGGCTGGTAAGTTATTATCACCCTAATTCATTTGCAGTAAGGTCTGTAGAAAAGAATCTGGTTTCCCCCAGATCCTGAACATAGTGAAAATAAGGCTTCTCCTTTTTGTTCAGTTCACTAGGAGGGCATAGGCTCCCGTTACGTAACCAGAATTCTGCAAGGCACTCTGGAGAACACAAAAGCCATGCAAGGCATAGTCTTGACCCTGAGTGTTCAGTTCCAGTTCAGTTCCGGTTTCTGTTGTAATCTGTTGAGATAAGAACTTAGGTAATGGACCCGTGGTGGTTTAAATTTCCATTTCAATACTGAAATCCACATGGCAAGAAAGAGCTAAAATAATTTTTTTTTTAAAACTACGAAACTGGTAAACTCATCAGTCAGTACATATGGAATCTCAAGAGTAGCCTTCTTTAGGAACTGCCAGGTGGCCAGTGCTGGGGTGAGACAGCCAGCCTGAAGGATAGGTTTGAAAAAAGGGCTAACACTGGACAAGTGGCATTTCAGCTTTATAAGCAAAAGTCCCATATACTTCATCACTTATTTAGTATTTGAATTTTTAAAGTTTATCCTGCTGATTCCTCTCCCACCTACTCCCAAAGTTTTTGCTTTTCTTATCAACCCTGCAGATTTTTGTTGGTAGGTTCACTTAATTTCTATGTCTCCATTCTAGGAGGGAAAGTAACATTACAGTAACAAGGCCGTTTCTCATCTCTGCTCTAGTCAAGGGACCCTGTAGACCTAACAGAAAGCCTGATAGTTCTTGATGGGCCAATTCACAGGAGAAAATTTTGCTTTGACTGAGTCAGAAGCTCCAGAAGTTCCAAAATACCATAGCAACATACTTTTCTCTTCCCTTATTGTTTCTAGAATGTTTTAAAACCTTTTTTTTCCCTAAACCTTTAAACCTTTTTTTACACTGGCTTTTACAGATTTGGCTTCCAGAAGGAACCATAGAATAGAATGTGACTGAGGCATCTCTCTTGGCTGCTCCTATTTCTTTTTAGCAATGTCTCTTGTGATATTCATTTATTTTAATGTGAGCATTTTTACAATTTATTATTGAAAATGAATACAAATAAAGGTTACAAAGCTACGCTAGATTTTGGCAAATGCAATCACAGTACACAAGTGAGAAACACTGAGTAGGTGGACATGAGAGAGTCTGTAACATATAGTTCCCAGGTTGCTGTCCAGTGACCATTCATTCCACTGTTATATCTCAAGTCTTTTTGGTCAACCAAAACTTGGCAGGAGGCCAAACTGGTTCTAATTTTACCATAACCTGGGAACAACTGCTAATTGGCAAATCATAATCACATACAAAAGCCGAACTAGACACCAAGGGTGTGCTTGCTTTTCAGAAAATCTCAACCCAGAAAGAAACCTTCTAGACATATAGAAATATAAGCTGCTGAGCCTTACAAAATCTAAGGTAAAACCCTGGAACTGCAGCAAAATCAAAACTAACCTTCTTGAACCACAGAAAATGCCAACTGAAGCAGTTCTTCTTAATCTAGTGAACTGAAACAAGCCACTGCTTTCTTGAGCAAAGGAGACATGGTGGTGGCAGGCAGTTGTAAGAGCTACATAAACAAGTCTATAGCATGAGCTTTTGCCACTGTTTGCTTATGATTTTAAACAAGAGACAAACAAGAACCAATTCAGCCAAGAAACAAAAAGCCCCTTGATCCTATGCAAATGTTCAGTTTGGGGTATTTTACCATCTACTTACCCCTGCTTCCTTTGACAATGTCACACTTTCTTTCCAAGCCACAATTTAGTTTTATTGCTGTGTCCTAGCATCCCATTTCCAATACCCACTCCACTTTCTATGCTTACAGTTTGGATCTTTGGGGGATTAATGAGATCATGTCTATAGGTGTGCTCAAATAATCAAGAGAATTCAGGAAATTTTACTAGAACAAGAAGCTTTCTGACACATTTTGAAAAAAGTTTTTCCATGAAGAATATGTATTTTTAACATTAAATTGTGATTTCCCCCAATAACAACAAAAAAACTGTGATATAACTTTAGCTTTGTGATAGCATCAAAGTTTAAAACCCAGTTTTATTTTTGTAAGGTGTAATTGCTGCATTTCATGCTATATCTTAGGTTTCCATATGCAGTGACATTTTACACACTCTAGCTCAACAAGTATTATTTCCATTCCTACCATTGTTCTTTCCTGTAAACATAAGTGAACTAAAAACATACCAGTAGGGAGTCCAAACATTTCCTGAATTGGAATATCTTCTTTGGAAACTTTAATCTACATTATTTTCTTCACCATAGATGTCAGTTTTTTGTAATCAATAAAAGGATACTCAGAATATAATAGTATAGAATGAATGGTAGATTACTAAAATTGATGTCTGTGGTAAAGAAAATAACATAGCTAACAAAAATAAAAACAAGGCTTTCTGCCTTTAAAGCACGTACTATCTGCTTAGGAGTACAGCATGTTTAACAGTGGGAAAGAAAAAGTCCAAAGTACTTTGGGAATATTTGCGAAGGGAGGGAACACTTTTTGCTGGAGAAAAATCTGAGGAACCTACATAGAACAGGTAGCAGCTGAGCTCAGCCTTGGAAAAAGTGGAAGATGGGGGCAGCTAGGTGGCAAAGTGGATAGAGCACTGGCCCTGAAGTCAGGAGGACCTGAGTTCAAATCTGGCCTCAAACACATAATACTTACTAGCTGTGTAACTCTGGGCAAGTCACTTAACCCCAATTGCCTCATTAAAAAAACTGAAAATAAATTTAAAAAGAAGGAAGGAAGAAGTAGAAGATTTTAACAGCAAAGATGAGGAGAAAACGTACTCTAGCCATCCCCCGGGAGTGGGGTCCTGAACAAATGCATGGAGGTGGCAGGTGGCACATTTAATTTGTTGGACAGTTAGTGCTACAGTTTGGCAGAGGCACAAAGTAATGGAAGGAGAGTCATATAAGATTGGGAAGAAGGGCTGAATGAAAAGCAGGTAAAACAAATGGTTGTCACTCCTCTGTTACAGCCTTATGAGGTCACAAAAGAATCATATGAAAGATATAAAGCATTATTAGAAAAGGAAGTGCCTACTTACCTTAAATGAAGATGACCTCACTATTACCACCCCAGGCCTCCTGAAGCATTTCCAGTTGGGAGAATAGTGGAGAATGATACTTCTAGTGTCAGGGGATTTATTATCTAAATCCTAAAGCCCTGATATTAGCATGACCATGGACAAGTCACTTTGCCCTTAATTTCCTGACTGGCTCACAGAGTTGAGAGAAAACTTTCCTGTAAACCTGCAATAATTGTGTAATGTTTGTATTTTATTTTGTTCTTTATCCTTTGCCCACTATGTAATGTGATGTAGTAGATAAGAAAGCTGTCCTGGAAGCCAAGGCGATCTGGGTTCAAGTCCTCCCTCAGACACAAACTGGCAGCATGACCCCAGGCAAATCATTTAACCCTAATCAGTATTCTAGGCCAATGGTGTCTAACTCAGATAGAAGCATGAGCCACTAAACCATATATCAGGTCACATGTCAGACTGACAAATTTGCTCGGTCTAGGCAACTCTCTTAAGTTACAAAGAAGGGGCTAACCTGCATTGGTAGCAGTTTTATAGCATCACAGATTTTGAATTGAAAGTTACCCAAGACGCCTCTAAGACAATCCTGTCAATTTACAAATGATAATTTTGAATCCCATAGAGGTTAAAGGACCTGTCCGGGATTACATGGCTACTAAGTGTATGAGGCAGGATTTTTTTGTTGTTGTTTTTGTTTTGGAGACAACTGGGGTTGTGATAGTAAGTGTCTAAGGCTGGATTTGTACTCATGTCCTCCTTACTCCAGGCCCTGTGCTCTATCCACTGCACCACCTAGCTACCCCCAGGATTTGAACCCAAGTTTCACTGAATCTAAGTCCTGTGCCCTGTCCTATGCCATGCTGCCTCAGCCAGAAGGGTTTCTTTATCCAGGAATTCTCCACACTCAAATTCACAGGTCCAGTCCCTAACTCATATTCTATGTTCCTGATCTTCAACAGAACTATTAGGGGGCCTCCTTTTGTAAACATTTGCTTTTTTTAAACTTTCCAAGAATCTTCTGAACTTAAGAGCCTTTAGCTTTGGCAATAATTATTCCTGATAGATGCTACAGAATCTTTTTCTGCCAATTATAAGGAGCTGGAAGTGACCTTAGAAGCCATCTAATCCAACCCTGTCATTTAACATATGAGGAAACTGAGTCACAGAGAGAATAACTTGCCCAAGGTCACACAGATAGCAGGTGGCTATATCCTACAAGTCACATTCTCACAGTTCCTTCTTTGAAAACAAGAATGGAATTTATTAAGTGTACAAAATGATACATTCATCATTCGAGGAAGCTTTAGCTCAAAGAAAAGCATGCAAATCATTATTCATCAAAATGGGAAATATCTCAATTAGATGACTTTCATATGGGGAACTTAGCCTTAAAACTTCTAAAAAAAATACTCCCACTTAGGAAGAGAAGGCAGATTCACCACATTTATAAGAAAACTCAGGAGCACACATGTAGAAAATTGAGGATGGCCTTGAAACCTGCAACTTGCAAGGAAAGTACCTTGAGAATGATAGGACTGAATGCCCAAGACACCTTTCCCAAACTCTCACTGACCACTCTTGTTGTGGTTAAACCCCTTCAGATGGAAAAATAGCAAAAATCTTCCTAGTCTTCCAGACCTCAGAGAGAAAGATCTGAAAGAGAACACCTCCTGTGAGACAAATGCAGAGATAGTGAAATGGCCAGTGCCTGCTGAGCTCTCCAGGACAGAAGGGAAAACAAAAACATCCCAACCTTCTATCCTGGGGGAAAGGGTGGGGGGATACTAATTTGTAGAATATGATGGGCATATTATTAGCACTCCTTTCCTTCTTCCTCCTTCACTAATACTACTTTCCAATGCTATCACCCCCCTGATAACACTGGCTTACTTCCACTCAAGTGAACAAAAGAGAAATGGCAGTTTTGGTCCCCATCTCCCTGATGTATATATAGTGTCTATGATGTCTTCAGAGCATTTTAATATCTTTCCTATTTATGTGTACATTTTTAAACATTCTAAGGAAGGTCTATAGTGCATTCAGAAATAGACCTCCAAGGCCTTTTAAATATCTGGTTGAAGAAATATTCTGGATTTTGCTACAGTTTTCTTTTTAGAAGAAAAAGTGGGGAAAAAAACAACAAAAAACCCAAATTTTTAGGATAATTTTAAGGATAACAGAAAAAAAACAAACACTGTAACAACCACCCCTGCCCACCTCATCATCTGTCAGTATATTCAAGTTCTGATTCCTAAAGCAATGTAATAGACTTTTTCCACATCCTCATTCAGAGGCAGCTCTCACTGCTTGTGAAATGACTGAAGGAGAGACCCAGCATTTTTATCCCAGAATTTAGCGCATGTCAGCACACCCTACCCAAAGCATGAAATTCCTGACCCGCCCCCCATAAAAAAAATTATATATGATACATATGTGTCTACATGTGTATATGCATGAATTTTTTTTCCTTTGGAATGTTGCTCTTTTAAAAGGAAATGCCCCTTTTTAGTCTAATGAGGACCAGGCACTTCATTTCTTTATCTGAGACTGTACTGGCATCAGCTGGGCTGCAGTGGTGGGCTCTGGTTTCACTCTTTCACTTATGGTAAGGTCTTCGGGCCTATTCATCCTTTCAAAACTGTAGCATTCAACATTCTCTTCAGAGGACAGAGTCCTAGTGCTCACCAGGTGGAAGCCCTCTTTTAGCAAAGTGTCCACAAGTAGTCCTAGTACATTACTTCCATTGGCCAGTTTTCGGTTATCAGGCTTTATAGAAACATACCTAAAGCAGAAGAAATAATTAATGTTTTGTTTTTTAAGCATTCTCTTAACCCCTACCAAAACCACTAACTACTAGTATACAACTAACTAGCTCTATAACTATCTACACACTCAACCTTAAAATATAACATGATATTGACTAAATAATATGTACTTTTAAATCTGGTTTCCCAAAGAAGCAAAATTTATTATTTATACAGCCAAAATAAGGGCAGGGGGGAGGCTTCCATAGCCATCTGGCGAATTCAGGAAAATTCACAGAACCAGACCACATGTGACAGGGAAAATAAAGCCTGTCTTTGCTTGAATCATTCAAATTTGTCCTGTTATTGTTGACATAGTAAATGTGTAATGTGACATAGTAATGAGTAGCTCTGTGTTTCCTACTCCTATGTAGAGGATCAAGAAAATTTTATCTTTATATGTACATCCTCTTTACTGCCTTACAGACAGGTGTATCAACACCCACAATAAAGGCAGTTGGCTTATAACATTCAAGGAAGCCACTTTGATAGGAAACTAATCTTCACTAGTTCCATGTGAAAGCCTAAACTTTTTCTAGGTTTGTAGAGTAAAAAGACATGGAAGACATCTCCAACTTTTTTTAAAAACAAGAGGTTAACTAAACATTGTGCTCAATGCTGTGTAGCCGTTTTTCAAATTACTAGTATCTAGTACAGGAGGGTACAAAAAAAGGGGGGGAAAAGTATTCTGAAAATTACAAAATTACAAAACACATTTCTCTACCCAAAGAAAGAAAGCTGTTTATTGAAAAAATTAACTTTTTCCTTAATGTTAGTAAAAGTATTTCCCTCTACTCCCAAAGTCCAAAATATAACCTAGCACATATTTAAAACATAAAAAACACATTGAGAAATAAAACAATTTACTAGAACATCTGAAAGAACTAGATTCTATATAATATATACAATACAGGGTAAACAATTACAAAGTAGTATACATTACCAAGAAAAGTTGAATCAAAGAATGTGATTCCATGTGAGGCACCCTCCCTCCCCTCCCCTCCCCCCCAAGCCAGAGGTAAAAAGATTCCAAGGCACCATAAGAAAAATAAAGAGGTATATTCTGTGAAATAAAAACCAAAAACAATTTGCAAGTTTAAAAAAATTTTTTTACACATTTTCCCATTGAGCCAGAATTAAAACAAATTCATGAAACCAGATGCAACAGGACAAATGCTACAGAAGAGAATACCTAAGATCCTGTGATATTAGGTTGAACTTAATCAAATGAGTTGCAGATGCAAGGGAAACAGCAAATCCAGGTATTTTGGATGCTAAGGAAATGTTCATGCTTTCAAGAAACTAATCTAACACATGATTTGGACATGATTATTGATTATTGGAATAACAGATGCTTATGCATCTAGATTATATACTATCTAAGCTGATGGCTACCAAACACAATGGGGTTTCAGTGGTTCTCTTTCAGAGCCAGAAATGTCAGACCAAAACTGACCCTTTTCTTCGCTGCCCTTCACCAGGCATTTTGGTTCAGGGTGACAAAAGAAAGACCCAGGCTCTCAAGCATTCCCTCTCTAACTTGCAGAAAGTACACAGAGGTTAAGAATAGATTCTTGAGTATGGATGGATGATCACGTTAAAAGGTCAGAGTTTTTTCATTCTAGCATCAAAGATCCCAATATGTTCATTTATTCAGGTTATCCACCTTCTGTAAAGCTAGCATTCATATATACATCAAAAAACACTTATGATGAGGTATGATAGGCTCATATTTATAACTAGAAAGTACTTCTAAGGTCATCTAGCCTAATACTTTCATTTTACAGATTAGGAAACTGAGGCCCAGAGTCACTAAGTGACTTTCTGAAACCTGGTCCCTTAGTACCAATCTAGTAATTTTTTCCCTGTACCATCCTGCCTTCTACTTGTTGGTTGGAACAGAATAACAAATACTACTTAAAAGAAGATCTTATGTCACTTGGCTAAGAGATTCATAAGATCAACTAATCAATACTTTTGTTCAATAGATGCTAGTGGTGTAACTACTAAAATAACAAGATTTAAAGAAATTAATACTATTCTTACACTAAGACTTAAAAATCAGCCCAGCCCCTAAGAAACATAACCAAGAAACAGAAGTATGTCACTTGGCAATGCCTGACCATCTCTGGTTCCCATCTTAAGTTTCTTTATTATTGCCTGTCAGCCTTTTCATTACAATTTATTCCAAAAAACCTCTGTGTTATGCATATGTGCATCTAAAGCCTATAGTTTGTTCAAACTCTTCTTTTTTACTCTCCTGGAATATTTCTGCTAAAATATTCTTTAATATTATCCTCATTTCTTCAATTTTTAAAGAGATTCCATGATACTAGCTATTAGTTCCTCCATAAAATAAAAAGACTTAACATATCCCTTTCTCAATGTAATCATTAGCCACCTACTCATGATTAAGACAATACCACCAACATATGTACTAAGTATGGTTGTCCTTCACATTAACTTTTAAAGTTTAGGACAATACCCCACAATACACTAGTGTCTCTTTATATACACATTTTAAACTTAATCAATGACATACACATCCAGTCATAGTTTCCCAAAAAGAAACGCCATCTTACACCTTTAGTAACACAGGGGAATGAAAATTACTAAGAACTTTAAGTAAGCTTTTATAATCTATCATATTAAACATTAATATAGTTATTAAATAACCTCTGTGTAGCAACTTATTGGAGGCCAACTTTAGGATCCTGTCAAGAACCCAGCATTAAAAAATATTGTCACAAAACCACCTTTAATATGTTGACATACCATCATTAATATATTCTGAGATGACTAAGAAGCTAAATGCTGAAGATGAAATATGGAAGAATGGCCAGGGATAGAAACATCTTCCCTTGGAAGTGTTTAAAAAATTTAAAAAAGGGAAGAAACCCCTGGGGGGGGGGAACAGATCATAAAGGGAGAAGAGTCAAATTAAAAGAATTTCTGTTAAGAGAAAATAAAATTTTCCAATGAATAAAAGCCAATTTCATTGGCAATGGAACAACTGATGTATAAATAATCCTTTGTTTCACACCCCACTTAGTAGTCCCAAAGCACCATTTTGAAAAAAAAAATTTTCTAGGAAAATAATTATCTTAGGCATTAGAAATTTTGTTTTTATAAAAACATCAAAGATTTGGACAAAAAGGAAGGGAGGCAAGGAGCCATATTGAAATAGAACAGAATACCTGGCTTCAGCCTGGTTACCAGTAGTATTATCAGAGCCACACTGGAAAACCAGGTCATGGTATGAAGGTCTTTGTGGTGGGACTGGAAGTAAGGTCTTCTGAGCAGGGAAAGAGCTACTGCTCCAGGTTTGGGTAGAAGACTGCTCTATAAACACTGTAATCCTCCCAGTTAACATCTCAACTGTGCTGCTACAGGAGCCAAAGACCCGGAAAAAGGCTCGAGTGTCCTGGCACGTAAAACGTACCTCTAAAATTTCTGGCTTAGGCTTTAGCTGTTCTTGGTCAAGAAGCTCAACCAGACGATCAAGTTCATAGAAATAAGCCTCCCTTCGGAGCCTTGGATAATCTGAAAAGTCAGTGGGTAGGGAAAGCAGTTGAGTTCTCAGGAAATCCAGGATGTAGCTGAACAGCAAGCCATCTCTGTCCACAAAAATTTGGCCATTCACCAGCTTGAATTCTTGGTCGCGACCATCTAACATGCGTGCCAGCCGAGACATGGGGAACTGTCGTATGGTGGAGAGCCGTGTCGTGAATGTCTTGCCTCCCACATTGAAAGTGACCAGTTCCTGACTACTCATTCTCCTTAATAGCTTCCAACCAAAGGCGGAAAAGCAGAGTTTGACTTTCTGGTTATTTCTAAATTGTAGAGTAGATCTATGATCATAGATAATGGATGTATCTAAGGGGGGGGGCATGGAGAGAGCAACAGAAACAAGATTGGATTCCCAGGTAACAGTAGCAAAGTAAATACTGTATCCAGCAGCTTTGTTTGCAGGGTCAGGTTGCTTGGTAACTGCCAGTATAGGAAATGAAAGGTAGAAAGGCTGAGTACTTTTGGAATGTTGTCAAGATAGATACTTTAGAGAAGAAATTTCAATCTGCACTCAGTAACCCTTTGTCCTTCACTCTATTAAAAAAAAAGTTGATCAAAGATTATCTTCAAAGTAATATGAAATATTAAAAGTATGATTTAAGGAAAAGATTTTAGCTTCAAAGAATTAACAATTCCAAAATAAAATTCTAAACCACTTTTATAAAAGGTAAATTCTGATTTCTATGTATAAAGAAATATTTTCATGGATGCAATGGAGAATAGTAGAGAAGATGAGAGAGTAACAAGTCTATGTAATTGTTTATAATCCATTCAGTATAAAATCACCTGATGCCTTCTAATTAAAGCCATAGCGTTAGACCTGATATTTAGGTGTGATGCAGCCATCACTTCACCCAGATTTTAATTCCCTAAACTTTAAACCACAGCCTAAAGAAAATTCTGCATCTTAACCAACTTCTTGATTTGGCTTCCCTTTCTTCTCACTCTCCTGTCCAGAATCACAGAATTTTAGAGATAGAAAAGTCCTTCAAGTCATTACCTTACCCTATTTCCGCTGAAGAAAGGGAACCAAGTTGACCCACTCGTTTTCATGAAATTCCTCTAGTTATTAAAAATAAAATAAGTTCAATTAAAGTAGCACACCCTGTATCTCTACTGCTCAGGTAGAGAGCAAAACAGTTTCAAGATAAGATCCACTTTTTATTCCTCTGGGAAATTGGCCAAGTAAGAGAAATAATAATAAGGATGTGCTCTGCAGAAGACAGGCAACAGCGTTTTCATGCCAGCAGGTAGGGCAATGTTTGCCTGATAACTGTGCTTTACAATACCTGTTGACAGGTTACATTTCATCTGTCACAGCAAGTGACTGACCAGCTTTATTCCTCTTCTTAAAAACAAAAACAACAAAGGTATACCCTCAAGTATGAGAATTCACTTAGTAGTTCAGCTGCCTTGATACTTCAGCTCCAATTGGAACACAGAAATAAAGGCATTTACCTGCTGGTGACATCTAGGAGAGAGAGCTGCTCCTACCGTATGTTGGGCCTATTTCTTACCTTCATCTATACCTGCAGAGTTCTGATCCAGGGGAAGCAGAGTAAAAACAATTTCCCGTATTTAACTACAGAAACCTGCAACTCTTTTTTTTAAGCACTTTTTTTTTCAAGCACTATAGCAAAGGTAAAAGAGCTTTTTAAAAAATTACCTAAAATTGATATATGGAGAAACTAACATTTTCAAGTATAGTTCTAAACCATACTGGCTCTAATATTTTAAGATATTTAGAGATAAATTAAGAATAGGGCAGAGTACATCAAGGATAATTTACATTATTAAGGTGGAAAAATTAAGCTGAAAATATTAATATACCCCACCAAAAACTGTAAACTAGTTATTTTAGTTAACATAAAGATTCAACAATAAATGGACCGTCACTAGATACAAAAAAAAAAGGGAGAATCAAATTAGTTCAGCTCTTCACAATGTCTTGTTCTGGAGATGTCTCATTAATAGAAGAAATACCACTTTCTCAGCACAATCTCTACTGCATGATTGTGAAATAATTACTTTATACTACTGTAGTGCAATTTGTACAAAATGTTATAGATCCCATATGTTTTCATTGTGTTTTCCATTTTTGTCACAGCCTAGATAAAATCAATTTGGGGGAGGGAGAAGCCTGCTTAGAAAAAACATTTAGGAGGAGAAATGGTATTTCAAGATTCCATCCTGTTTCACTTTTACCCTTAGTTTTTTTTGTTTTTGTTTTTTTGGGTTTTTTTGGCTAGGCAGTGAGGTTAAGTGACTTGCCCAGGGTCACACAGCTAGTAAGTGTTATGTGTCTGAGGCCAGATTTGCACTCAGGTCCTCCTGAATCCAGGGCTGGTGCTCTATCCACTGTGCCACCTAGCCGCCCCTACCCTTAGTTTTTTAACGTGAACAGTATACACATGCATAGCATGTTGGTTCCATGGGAATGCTTCTGTATAAAGATATTTCTGCCAGAAGCTATTTCATCTGAGCCACTAGTTTAGAGCATGTGTTCTTTAACAAGTATTTTTTAAAATATTTTTTCACAGGTTGTAAGTCAGTCCTGTCAGCTAAGGACAAAAGACAGAAATAGGACTGTGTGCTTGCAACAGATTTTTATAATAGTTTATATTTGCAAACAAATTCTGCCACACCATTCAGCAACACTAACGTGTAATTCTTGAACCTTTCACTGAAAACAAAAACACCATCCACCACCTGTTCCCAGTACAGAATTGCTTGATCTGCAATTTCGGCCGATTCTGTCAGGTAACTGGAGGTGAAGCTGGAGAGGTGGGCTTTCCAGATTGAGAAATCATCAAACAGAGATCCGCCCAGGGACACCGTGGGAGTGAAGTAAACAAGAAGGCCAACAAGACAGAGCGCCACCAGCATCTGACAGAAGCTCCAAGGAAGCTTGCTGGCGCATGGGACAGTTTCTTGAGGCAATGACATTTTGTCCACATCTACTAGTTTTATTCCCTCCCACTGACTAGTATCAAAGTTCTTAAATACAGGGTTTGCAGGCAGATCGGAGGAAGGCAAAGGGGTCTCCTTGATGACTTTGATCTTTTCCCTGAATTCCTGCATCTGCTGTAGGAATACAACGGGCTCCGATACGTCCTTGAAGGCCTGCGCGATGTTAAAAGCCAGGCGCTGCTCCTGCAAGATCGTGTTGAGCTTGTTGATCTCTGGGTCGTAGGTCTGCATGACCGCCAGCTTCATGGTCTCAAAGTCAGACAGGATCTCATTCTTCTTCTGCTCTAAGGTGTGCTGCAGCTTCTCAAAGAACTCCTTCACCTTATCGGAATCCTTAGTCAGCAGTTGCAGGGATTTCCTCTTGCTCGTCTCTAAGGTGTCCAGACGAGAAAGAGCATCTCCCCTACGCCAGGTCTCAAAACCTTGAAACAGTGATTCAAAGGCGCTCCTTTCCTGAGCGTAGGCGTCTTCAATAGAGCAGAAGACGTGCTTGGTGTGACTGCCCCGAGTGGCACATATCCCGCAGATCAGCTGCATGTCTGTCAAGCAGAAGATGTTGAGGGGCTGTCCTACGTGACCCTTACACACGGGCATTTTGGGAGACACTTTGATCTTGTTGTATTTTTCCACAATTCCCTTCAGGGAGTAATTGACCTGCAGGCTATTGACTCCAGTAGCTGAAGTTTCCTTCCGGCAAGTGGGGCACTTGAAAGGGGATTGTCTCCACAGCATATTCCGGACATTGCCCTCCAAGATACCTTCCAGGCATTTTTTGCAGAAATTGTGAGAGCAGGGCAAAACCCGGGGATCATCAAATAAGCTGCAACAAATAGGGCATGTGAGGTCTTCCTCCAGCAGCTCCATCATATCCTGTCAAAGAGAGAGGGAGAAAAACATTTTATTGATTCTACTTAATCAGTAGTTTCCACTAGGGGCTACTCATAATTAGAATCATCTGTTCATTAATCTAAAATGATGGTCTGAATTATACTTGCACATTCCTACACACAAACTGCTAAGTCTTTTCTCTGAAAACTCTCAGGTTAAAATTGTCATGACTTAGTATTGCCATGTCTCAAAGTTTCTCTTCTCTGTCCTGTCCCACTCTTTCACTATACTACTGGTCCAGATTCTGCACATCAGAATAATAGGCTAGAATAGCAAGGAGCAACCAGAAGATCGAGCACTGTATTAAAGTCTGCCTCATGTGCTATCAAACTGATCGACAGGCAAACCTATACAGGCATCCCACTAGGACTGTTAAATACTCCTTGTTAAAAGGCCCAGGACACAAGGCCTCTGTGTGGGCTCCCCAACAGAAGTGTTGGCTGAGGCTGAGTAAGGACTAGGAGACAATTGCAAGTTAAGCTTGTGGCACCCAATTGATTGTTTTAAAACTGGGAGCTGACCACTAGCTGTCAGGAACAAAGCTACTCAGTATTTGAACAGAACGAGCCTTTTACTTTGAGCCCAAAGAACAAAACCGAACTGTCAGCTCTTACAAAAAAGCACTGTAGGGCTACTTTAGAAATAAGGAGCACAGTAATACAAATTCAGGCCAGGCCTCCACAGCATCTTGTCCTCTTAGTTGGTTACATGGAAAAAGAATAATCATCTTTAGGAATTACAGGTAAAACTGACACTGATAAGACGGCAAATAACTTAACCTTATTTAAAGTTTATATCTACTTGCTGCTGCTTTGCTAGGCTTATTTGGGCAAGTAAACATCTCCATCCTCCCCATTCTTCCTCCTACAAAGTAAATTTTCAAGATTTCCTTATCTTTCCCCATCTTAAGGATAATAAACTCCAAATTTTGCCACTCTCACCAAAGACTGGTGGACAGCCTGTATTAAATAAATAAATTATCATTTAAAACAAATAACTTTACTAAATTCAGTAGGCTTTGGAAGTATGAACCAAAGCAAATACCAACAAAACCTAAAAAGCAATCTATGGGCCCTTTAAATCATGTAAGTAATCAAGGGAAAAAAACGTAATTTTAAAATTAGATCATCTGAGGAGAGCTACGATTAAATTTGTATCCTAAAATACAAAGTACAAAAGTAAAAGCTGAAAGTAAAATGATGGGTGTGTCCACTATTTTAAAGGTGGAAAAAACAGGTACTCATACGAGGTAAAGACTTGCAGACCTCACTACTTTCACGTGGTTCTGTGTAAGTTATAAAATGCGTCTTATAGATTAGGCCGAGAAAAGATCACTTCTTTCATTTCTGAGAGAGGACTGCACGGCCCAACACTGCCAAAAGCTGTGATCAACTGATGTTGAAAAAAAAACAACTTAGAACATCACATGGAGAAGTGGGCCTCGATTAGAAGAGAAAAGCGTTCTGAACAGAACTATGAATTTGTGGCTCAGGACAAAGGCCAAGATGTTCTCCAGAAAGATAGCAAAGCAGCTCCGAGATACTGCAGTTCTCTTGTAACTAAGTGTGTAAAGATTTGGTAGCACCCAAGACTTGTCCCTCCCTTGAATTTCTCCCAGCCACTACAGGCCCTGTTATCTTGTCCACAGTACTGTACCTTCTGTTCCTTTATTATGATAAGATAGCCCCCAACATGGCACTAAAACAATGGTTATGTAGGGGTCAGGGATAACAGAATGTGAACTGTCAGAGATGAAAAAGAATCTTCCTTGTTCATCATTCCCACTAGCCAGGCCAGTATTTCCTTAGGGTTATATCCAGGGGTACAAATTAAATGACGTATGGAGAAGAAAAGGACTCTGCACTTAGCCAAGGAATTGGAAGGAGAGTTAATTCTAGCACATACATAAGGTATAGAGAGAGCTTTTAACCAAAGGAAATTACAATGTGAACACAGAAAACTCAAGAAAATCTGGTGTTTACTAGTGAGAAAGATACTAGAAAGAAAAATTTAAGAATGAAAAACAAGTTAAGAAGCCCTAATCAACCCATAGCTTTACAATTACTATTGGGAAGATAACTTCACAGCCCCACTCAGTATACGCACATGTAAATGTAATGTTTAGCCATGCATTATAAATTTCCTAACCTTCTTTGTACCAGTAATTCAATAAGCTGAATAGAATTTACCCATGTGCCTACTATATCTGTATAGAAAATTTTAAATTGCTTGCTATCATTATTCTCAAGAAAAAATTAAGATTTTATAGAAAGTTGTTAGCACCAAAGTAGTGCTTGTAGAATAAGCGCCTTGTATATTGAATGTGATTATAGATGTACTATAACTCCCATAAAAACAAATAATGGTTTACATTTCCTTGACTTGACTTAACATGATCAAGTCATGAACTAAAAAACTGAGAAATAATACCCTTGGGAAAGGGGAAGAGATGGAGGGGCCATGAAGAGAAATAAATGCCGGTAACAAGACTGCTAGACCCTGCTAGGATAGTTATCAGAAAAAAATTCCCTATTTTATTGGTGATTTTCAAAAACTAATTTAACTCATAATAGAAACAAACATATATCCAGTCGAGATCTCTTATAGCTTAATTATAAAAGCAGTTGATTTTTCTCCTTGTCTACAGAAAAGGGTAGATTTAATACCACTATAAAAACCTGTGCTATCATAAGTAGAATGACAGCATTGTAAAGTCCCATATCACCCACAATTTTCTCCTTCTGTTATTAGGAAAATAAAAGAGGCAGCTAGGTGGTGCAGTAGAGCTCTGGACCTGAAGTCAGAAGACCTGAGTTCAAACCCTGCCCCAGACACTTAACTACCTATGTAATCCTGGGCAAGTCTTTTTAACTTCTGTCAGCCTCAGTTTCCTCATCTGTAAAATGGACAGGATCATCTACCTCCAAGGGTTTTTGTGATAAAATGAGATAATATTTGCAAAATGCTTTACAAATCTTAGAGAACTATAACTGCTAGAGATTACTGTTGTTGTTATTAAAAGGACCAAGTCAGGGCAACTAGATGGCCCAGTGGATACAGCACCAGCCCTGGATTCAGGAAGACCTGAGTTCAAATCTGGCCTCAGACACTTGACACTTACTAGCTGTGTGACCCTGGGAAAGTCACTTCACTCCATTGCCTTGCCAAAAAAAATAAAATAAAATAAAAGGACCAAGTCAATGCTTCACACATAGCAGGTGCTTAGTAAATGCTTGTTGGGCAAAAAAGGAAAAGACATTTTCTACTTTGAAGAGAACTAAGTATGAAATCAAATGGATTCATTCTTGCTTAGATTCAGTTTGCAAGTATTTCTAGGCTATTATGATATTCTGTACTTCAATTGCCCATTTCCTCAATCCAAAGATCTTAGACTACTTCTCCAATACCTGTCAAACAATGTAGTACCAAGGATTATAATCTCTATTTTGCAGATGATAAAACTATTCTGATTTTTTAAAAAATCATTGATGCTTTTGTTTTTACACTATATTCACTTCCAAATATATACCTTCCCTGTCCTCTATTCAGAGAGCCTGCTCTTGTAACAAAGATTTAAAAAGAGAACAGCCAACCAATATATCAATCATGTCTAATAATATGTAAAATATTTTATACCCAAATTCCCTCACCTCTACAATGAAGGGGGAAAGTCTTCATCCTCTGGGTTAAACTTGGTTATTATAATTATAGTGTTCAGTTTTAGTTCTATTTTTCCATTTAGAATCTTCTAATTATTCATAATATTTTCCTGGTTCTGCCTACTTTACTTTGCATGAGTTCTTATAAATCTTCCCATGTTTCTCTGAAATCTTCATTAGTTGTTACTTCTTATATTCCATTAAATTCATGTGCTTTAATTTGTCTAGCCACTCACCATTTAATGGGCATCAACTTTGTCTACAATTCATTGCTACCACAAAAAATGCTTCCAGAAATATGTTGGTGTACATACGTGGGCCTTCCTATATTTGTCCTTCCTGAGACAGCCTCACAGGGAAATCTTTTAATCAAAAGGTATGACCCTTTAAATAACTTCTTCCAGGCATCCTAATCAATCTTATTTGGAAGCAGGACTCAGCTCTCACTCTACCTTAGGATTAGATCTACTCATAATGATTACTAAAAACACTTTTCATGATAAAGACCTAGTTGAGAGGTAACAGCTAATATTCTGCTAACATTTATATATTGCTTCCTATATGCCAGACATCATACTAAGCATTTTATGATTACTATCTCATCTGATCTTCACAACAATTCTACGAGGTAGATGCTATTATTATCCCCATTTTACAGATGAGGAAACTGAGGCAGGCAGTGATTAAGCTGAGTTGCCCACAGTCACAGCTCGTAAGGTCTGAGGTCATGTTCAAACTCTGGTTTTCTTGACTCCAAGTCCAGCCTTCTATCCACTTCATCACCTAGCTGCTATGCTGTAGTCCCCCCTCACTCCAAAAAAGTAAAATCATAAAAAGTGCGAGCCAAGTATGATGAGCACTAGTGAAGTATAATGGTTTCACAAATTGTAGAAGTGCTCCCTTTATTCAGGTTACATTTTTACTGACCTTCATTTGGGTTGTATTGTCTTAATTAAATAAAATAAAATTATAGGTTAAGATTTGAGTTCTGGTCTTGGCTCTAATAGTTACTACCTATGTGACAAGGCATTTAAACTGTGTGAATTTCCTTTCCCACAAAATGGGAAAGGGCAATAAAACACACCCAACTTGATTCTTTAAAGAATAAAATATTATAGAATATGAAAATGCTCTAGCTTTTTAAAAGGTATACATGTGTTATTAACATTTCAGTACCTGAGTTCTTCAAAATACTATTCCCTCAACTGATTCACCACCTCTCCAAGCCATATTAGACAGTCTTCATAAGTTGATACAGCCAAAAAAAACAGACCTTGTGCCCAACTTTCAAATGATGAGCTTCTCAGATTTTAGGTAAGCCAG